GTAATTGTGGTTAATTCTTGTTAAAAATTGAACAGGACAGAGTTTGTCTGGGCTGCAGGAAGGTGTGGTGCTTAATTTTCAATCTCCTCCTCTGTGATATGAGTTTTAATCTCTGGTTAATGACAGTTTAAGGAAGGGGTCGAAGGCACTTATGTTCCTCTTGGGGGTCTGATTGATGAGAGACCCCCAAGGTAGATGAGAGAACATCAGAGAACAGTTTCATCCTGGGAGATACAGGGGATTGAGAGGAGAGGCCTTCAGGATAATAATAATGAATAAATAATTCCATTACTTGGGGTTATTATTTTCTGAGACCCAACACTATATCAATAAATTTTACAGGTCAAATTAATATAATGTTTGTTTACAGCATGTCTTGCCATTGAAGAGTATCTTTTTTATTGTTTCAGCCAGATGTTTTTCTGAATTTGGAACTCTTTCTCACGTCCAGCCCACTTTGCAAAGGAAAAGGGAAAGCAAAGGACTTGGTCTTTATGCTTCCTGAGACCAGAGAAAGCTGTAACTCTGCCAGGCAGTTTCTCCTAACGCCTCAGTACAAATAGAGCAGGGAGGTGTGGGCACAGGAGCAGAAAGAGTCAAATGTGATTTAATTTGTCAGAGAGAGAGGCGCCCGTCCCTTTGTTTCTTACGCCAGACACCCAGGGCCATCTTTAATGGAGAGCTACCAGTAAGAAATGTATTACGGTAACTCTGCCTCCTCCCTCCACCATCAATAAAAGAACACTGAGTAAAAAATGTTCTTCCCTGAAGGTCTGTAAGATAAAGAGGCCCTTTTCAGAGTGTTTGCATATAATTCTTTTTTTTTCTTTTTTTTTTTAAGAGAGAGAGTCTCACTTTATCACCCTCGGTAGAGTGCCATGGTGTCACAGCTCGCAGCCACCTCCATCTCCTGGGCTTAGGTGATTCTCTTGCCTCAGCCTCCCGAGTAGCTGGGACTACAGGTGCCCACCACAATGCCTGGCTACTTTTTTGTTGTTGTTGCAGTTTGGCCGGGGCTGGGTTTGAACCTGCCACCCTCAGTATATGGGGCCGGTGCCCCACCGACTGTGCCACAGGCGCCACCTGCATATAATTCTTCCTGGCACAAATGAGCAGCCAGGAACTTCAAAACTCAGCTCTACAGACTCCATCAGCCTCCTACCACACAGGCTGCTCCTTCTGGCCAGGAACGGTGTAGGATGGCGGTTTCAGATTGACAGATGGGTTTGACTTGGAGAGGACTCTCCATCTGATCCCTTTTCCTTTGCAGATCAGAGTGACAAGAATAGTGTCTTGATGAATCAGGAAGTTTTGACACTGCAAGAAATGCTTAACAGCCTCGACTTCAAGAGAAAGGTTAGTAAAGAACTGTCATTTGGATGTTTGCTTCTTCTCTGCTTTTCCTAAACTCAGTCCTACTGAAAAATATCAAAGTCTTAGGTTTTAGCAGTTCTGCTTACACTGAATGAACAAACGGCGAGGTTTCTAGAACCCGTCCCACGCTGTTCGCCAGGCCTGCACAGCTTCTCTAAAGCCTATCTCTCATGCTTGTGTGATGCATCTGCCATAGCTAACGTTAACCTCAAGGTGGACACTTCACCCAATTTTTATTTGTCACTATTGCAGACTATTTTACTTCCTATACTTAATGAGCTGAGACAGGCTCCACACGTACATAATTAAAATAACACTTGATGACAACTGGAAAAATAAGTTTTTCAAATAAGTTTCTACCCTGAAAAATAACGTTATGTTAAGCAATTTCCTAAATTTTAGACTAGTGCGTTGGCAACTGGACGTACTCAGTTAATTGCCTCCCAAAGAGAAGAACATTTTTGTGGCTCAATGAAATATTTTTAAAGAGGGCAAGATCCCTATTTCAGTTTTCTATCTCTCCTTGAAAATAAACGCAATTAAATTTAGCCAGTCACTGATAAATCAGTTCATTTCTAGAAGTCTGGCTCTATTTTTCTGTATAGAAATTGGTGTGAGCACAAACAAGTATAAAGTTTATTTTCACCCTGAATTAACTATAAGCAGTTACATAACAGATTTTAAGTATGCCAGTAATTTAATCCAACAATGTTTTTATGCACGATCAATCTAGGCTACACATTTGATGCATGGCATCTTATTCTACTTTAGAAATACTTTTGTTGTCTTTATTTTAGGTTCATGTGAGGTTACAAACAACCAAGTCAAAATATTTGATGTTGTTAGGTAGAGTCCCTCTCCTGGTTATGTCTCGCACTAAAATAGTGTGCACCCCACACCGGGCCCATTCAGTGGGAGCATCCTACCTCCCTTCTCATCTCTTGTTACCCCTCCCCACAACTTGACATGAGGGTTTCTCCTATGTGGGCATGCATTAGGTCATCGACTGGCTTCCTACTAGTATTGAGTACATCGGATAATTGCTTTTCCATTCTTGTGATACTTTACTAAGAAGAATATGTTTCAGCTCCATCCAGGATATTGCAAAAGATGTGAAGTCACCATCTTTTTATGGCTGAATAGTATTCCATGGTGTGCATGTACCATAATTTTTTAATCCATTCTTGAATTCATGGGCCTTTAGGTTGTTTCAACATCTTGACTATTGTAAATTGGGCTGTGATAAACAGGCAACCCAAATGTCTTTATAAAATGATTTTTTTCTTCGGATAGATGTCTACTATTGGGATTGTGGGTCAAAAGGGAGTTCTAATTTGAGTTCTTTGAGGATTCTCCATACTTCCCATACTTCTTTCCAAAGAGGCTATAAATAAAAAAAAATTTTTTTTTTGAGACAGAGCCTCAAGCTGTCCCCCTGGGTAGAGTGCTATGGCATCACAGCTCACAGCAACCTCCAATTCCTGGGCTAAAGCTAGTCTCCTGCCTCCACCTCCCAAGTAGCTGGGACTACAAGTGCCTGCCACAGTGCCTGGCTATTTTTTGGTTGCAGCTGTCATTGTTGTTTGGCAGCCTGAGCTGGATTCGAATCCACCACCTTAGGTGAATGTGGCTGACGCCTTAGCCACTTGAGCCACAGGCACCAATCCTATAAATAAAATTTTAAGGATAGAAGAAACTTCAAAAATAATATAGTCAATCCCGGTTATTGTATAGATGAAAAGATGACGTTTCAGCAAGATTAAATGCTTTGTCCACGTCTGTGCAGCTTGTAACCAAGCCAGGACTGAGATTCACATCTTCTGATGCCTACGCCTTTGAATATTACACTTCCCCATCATGCCTCCCATGTCCAGATAAAGTCCTAATAAAAATTAGCACAGAAATTCTGAAATTATAGTCAGTTCATTTTCAAATAAATGTTTAACCCTATTTATTTTTAAAAATTAAATTTATAAACATCTTTCTAAAGAGAAAATACACAGTTTTATGACTACCAAATTTGAAACACACTCAGGAGAATGTTAAACCATCATCATTCTTCTTTGTATTTGGTCAAAATTTTCACCAAGCCTTTACTCCTGGGTCAAATTGTTTTGTAAGCTGAATTCTGAGTGATTCTGGTTGTTTCCTCTGGAAATCTCTTCAGCTGTCACCTTTGTTTTTAGGAAGCGCTCAGCAAGATGACACAGATAGTGAATGAGACAGACCTGCTAATGAACAACATGCTCGTGGAAGAGCTGCAGGACTGGAAGCGGAGGCAGCAAGTCGCCTGCATCGGAGGTCCCCTCCACAACGGGCTCGACCAGCTGCAGAACTGGTACCGTGAATTGACTTCCGTTTCTCATGAAAACCACAGGAAGCACAAAACTCAGTGCCACTCAGCCAGAGAACGCAGGTTTAGTCCAGCTTATTGATGGCTTAGCAGCTGGGATCTCTATAGTTGAAAATAGACAGACAAAGTGGGGCAGGCAGGGTCAGGGCAGAATAAAACGAAGCTCCTGTAGAATGTGTAAGAATTGTTTAATTTTCATATACAAGAGAGCAATTTTAAAAGACTCAAATAACTTTTTGAAATTAGCGATACACCCTCTTTAAGGACATTATAAGGAAACACTAGCTTCAAAATTCCGAAATTATATACCTTGACTTTTTAAATGTGTGTCTTAAGACATAGCATTTAAAGTTAAACATTAGTTTTGTGTTTTTCAACTTAGTGACTTATTTTGTTAAGTCTGTTGGTCCAAGGATATAAAATTTCTGTTGTCCAGAAGAAATTAAGGTCAGGAGATCTATCATACATCATGGAGATTACGGTTAATAACAACACATGGTATTCTTGGAAATTAACTAAGAAAGTAGATTTTAAGTGTTCTTACCACAAAAAGGTAAGTATGTGAGATAATAATGCATGTTATTTAGCTAAAATGTATCTTATGTCAACATCCTGACATGTACCATAAATATGTACAATATTTTGTCATTTAAAAGGTTTTTTTAAAATCTTAAATGGTTAATGTGACCCGGCATCTCCTATCCATGTATGCACATATGTAGTTAAGTATAGATTCTATCCTTTGTGCCCTGGAAGATACAACTATTGAAGGGGTTTTCTGCCTCATTAATGCAAGACAGTCTGATTGAAAGAACAATTGGAAAATATAATGAAAAAGAAGGAACATGTTCCATTAAAATCTAAAATTGCTTTCTGGCTAAGTGCAGTGGCTCATGCCTGTAAGCCCAACACTTTGGGATGCCAAAATGGAAGGATTCCTTGAAGCAAGGAGTTTGAGACCAACCTGGGCAACATGGAAAGACTCTGTGTTTACAAAATATACATATATTTTTATTTAGCTGGGTGTGGTAGTGTGCACCTATAGTCCTAGCTACTTTGTACTTTGGATCCTGAGCGGGAGGATTGCTTGAGCCCAGGAGTTGGGGGTTGCAGTGATCTGTGATTCCAGTCTTCCAGCCTGGGTGACCCAATGAGACCCTGTCTCCAAAAAATAAATATGATGATAAGATAGATTAATTAATTAATTAATTAAAATTGCTCCCTAAGAGCATAATTCAATACAATGGAAATATGTAATAATGGGGGAACCCTCTCACTAAAAGCTCTCCCCTGCCAGGCCCACTTCCCAAGAAAAGTTAAGGAGTTGGGCATATTTTAAAACATAGATTTTCTTTGGGAAAAATACTTTGATTCTCGAACCTGGGCATACTCTGTTGTTGTGAAAACAAAATAAACAATAAAAGGGGCAATACAAAACTTAACAGGTAATAGTGTTTATACTGAAAACCAGCAGGGATTCAATACCTCTTCCCACAGTCTCAGAGGCAGAATTCTTTAAATATTAACAGAAAGCATTGCTGGCCCAGATGGACTTCCCAAGTGTGATGAGACATTCTGCCCTCGCTGTGGTTAAAAGTCCCTTCCTTGTTATTTCACTCTTACTTTTCCTTAGACTTCTGGCTTAGGCCCCCCCACCTTCATTTCTGAGGTGAGATCACCACATATGAGTAAAACTCCTTGAAGATATCAAGGGCACGCATTTTCAAATATACCTTTCTTCAGAGAGAGTCATTGTTCATCTTAGGCTAATACTCAGGGCTTATAAAAAATTTATTGGGGGATAAGATCAATGTCACATTTTTCCTTCAATATTTTTCCATACAACATTCCTCACATCATGTATGTCATAGTTTTAAATTTCTTCCTTCATTGTCCTTCAGTGAGTGTCATGTTCTTAGCACATATACACTTAACAGGCTTAAATGAAGCATCACTAAAAGGGTTTGGGTTCCAGATGTTGACAACATTTCATAAATGATGTCATAGCTATAATTGAACACATATATTTGAAAACATGTAACGTATATGACACACAGTTGAGACAAATAGGTCAGGAAGATGAAAATAAAGAACTGTCAGTACTTTTAAATAGAATTAAGTAATTCACTTAATTTAATAAGTACTTAATTTTGTATTTGCCAAATATGACTAAGAAAATGCTGATTAATGCTGAAAATGCTGTTAAAATGCTTGATTGTGAAATGGAAAAACTATCTCTGATTTTCATTTGCTGTTCGATAGCTTTACACTATTGGCAGAAAGTCTTTTCCAACTCAGAAGGCAATTGGAGAAATTAGAAGAGCAATCTACCAAAATGACATATGAGGGTGATCCCATCCCAGTACAAAGAACTCACCTGCTGGAAAGAGTCACCTTCTTGATCTACAACCTCTTCAAGAAGTAAGTGAAGTGTTACCGATTTAAATGCTTCACGGCATCCTCAGTTCTGGGAAGGGGCAAGAACACCCTGTCTTGATTTTGGTGTTTAGGTGACAGAGTGGCAGGGAAGTATTAAACAAGCAGCCCCAGGGACCCCAGAAAGTTTCAGAACCCACATTTCTAAGCTTCACTATTTATTTATCAATACATCTCCCACAAACTGACTCAGTTTTCTACAACTAACCCACGATTGCCCACATATAGCTCAGTTTTCACAGTTTAGAAAGATTGTTTTGGAAAGGTTTCATCTTAAGTGCATATCCAAGAAATGAAGAACGGGGAACATTTTTGTGTTTATAAGCGAGTTTAAAGAAAAAATACTAATATGTGCCAGAAATCCTAATATTTAGTATAAAAATGGCATAAAATTTACTGTCTGTATTCACATAGTATGATGAAAATAGACTGGGGCTTTTATTCATGACTCAGTCATAACAATTCAGAATTATTTACAGTTGTTACCTGGAGACAGTCTTTAGGCAATCTTTTCCTATTTCTTGGTAATTATTTATGAAAAGGCATTGGAAAGATTTGAGTTTAATGGGGTTTCGAATGTCTTCTAAAAGTAGAAACTTTGGACTTTCTGGGAAGATAGCATCCTGTCCCTCTGTACTTTTCAGCCCGCTGGTATTTTCAATGTTTTCAAGTGACGTGCTTTATTTCCTTTTCATCTAGCTCCTTTGTGGTTGAGCGCCAGCCCTGCATGCCAACGCACCCCCAGAGGCCCCTGGTACTTAAAACCCTCATTCAGTTCACTGTGAAGCTAAGGTAGGCGGCACCTTCTCTCCTTTCATGTGTTTATGGAGCCGCTCACTGGGTACCTGAGGCTGGTTTCTCTCCTTGCACCTACATTCAGCTATTTTCTTTATTAAGTACTTGCTGTGTGCCCAGACTGAGCTTTGGTAAAAACCCACAGGAATGTCATTTGTTACTTGTCAAGAGTGTGACAAGGACAATGAGGACAGGAGGGATATTAGCATGAAAGCATGGAATCATAGTATCAGGCACGATGAATTAATTGCTAAAAAGGTTGACTTGAGAGAAGACTGGAGAAATTGGCAGAGAGGAGGATTATAGGAGAATGAGACTATGGAAATAAGGGGTCTTGGGCCTGTTTTTTGGTAGTGTAGAGCAGAGAGAGATAGAAGTGAACAGAGAGATTGGGGATAGTTTATGGAAATGCGATTACCCAGTAACTGGCTTAGTGGATTTTCTACAAAAATTCTCAACACCACAATTTTCTGTATATCCTTACCATGTATCTGATATAAAGACACCTGGCTTTTATGTTTACTGGTTTGCTTTCTCTCTGTGTTTGATCCTTTTCATTAGCCAGAGCAATCAACATACAGTTTTTCCCTAATGATGCTTGAAACAGTCAGTTGGATTCTTACTTTCAATGATTTTCATTATGCCTCAAACTCCAGTGCCTAAAGTTTTAAACTTCCGATTACTAGGTCACCTCTGGAAAGCCAAAACCACAGACTAATGAATGCATCAGGGATGGTGATTCTATGGCAGAGAGAAAATTAGGGTCCTATGATGGGATCCCTGATCATATATCACTATTGGAACTCCATTTTTAAAGAGAAAGCATTTGTCTTCAGTTAGCATTTCACAAACTCCACTTAAAATTCTTAATTGTTTTTGTGTGTGTGTGTGAATTTTGTGCCATGATTTAAGAACTGAATAGAAGCCAAATTCTCTTTTGAAATTTTGTTCTTCTCAAAAGTTGTTCATTCCTCATTCCCACATCTCTATGTAAGTCAAAGGAGGGAAATAGAGTGGAGAGGTGGTGGGCATTCTGCTTCTCCTTGAGATATATATGCCTGTAGATGATACACTACGTCTAGGATGCTCTCTAGAACAAAAAGGGAAATGAGTAGGGATTGCTCAGTAAAGCATTCTGGGTGGAAGAGGGCCCTGAATCAGCACCACCCTGCGTGTTGTTTGAGCTGATTGCCGGGGGCTGTCCTCCTCTTCCATCCACCTGTTGGATCCTCATCCTCCTTCTCTGAACCCTGTTCACCCCTCGCCTGATAGATGATCCTTTACTCGAGGTAAAACCTCTCTCTATCATGTGCTTCCTTCTGTTCCAAAGGAGTGGTGACCTGGAACTCTGGTATTAGTGGTCAGCATTGTAGGATGAATCAATACTTCCTGAAAGGGACAGAAAAGAATGTGGGGAGAGAAAACATCTGCCCTTATTTCACATGACGACACCTACTCCTCGCCCCCCGCTACCAAGGACTACATCCTTAACATACTGGAGCCCTGAACCGGTCTTGTGCCTGGTACAGGACATTAAAGAAATTTTGCTGCATTCTACCCACCCTTTTGTTTGTATTACGATCTGGTGAGGTGCTCGGTCCCACACTCTCTGTATTCCATCTGCCTGGCGGCCTCCTTCCTTTTAGCGGTAGCCATGTGCACAATTCTGCCTTCCCCAGCCCTTGCTCTGCCAGTTCCCCATAACTAAGGCTGCTCTGAGTGGATAGAGGAGCTCAGTACCTGCCGAGTGGTGAGTGAAGTTAGGGATGGCGGCGTGTGAGTAAATGAATGAATGAAGAGTGATTGAAGGGTAAACTCCAAAACTGCCCTGACCCAGAGACAGGGCACATCACAGGACAGAGATCTGAGGACCTGGGGAAAGCAAAAGATTAAAGGAGGGGCTGACACTAGAAGGAAATAGAGGAATTGTTATTTGGAGCTTTAATCATTTGTTTGTTTGAAGTTAGGTCTTTTTCAGTGATGAGCATTTTTGCTGATACTTAGTGTGTTGAAAGATTTCAAATGTGTTTGAATTTGGATTTTCTATGTTCTACCAAAGGCCTGGTCTTTCTTAATATTTTCACCATGAAACAGCTGTTGTCAAAACATTTAGTTTTACTAAGCTTATACATTTTTTACTAGATGAGGATAAAACAGGGCTATATCACTAGACTTACAAACCAATTGTTTTATCTTTATACATTTAACCTAAGTTTGGGCTTTTTCCAAAATATATAGCTATTGTTCTGACCTGGCAAATTGATTATCCAGCACACATTAACTAAAAGCAATATGGAAACACTTTTCAAATGTGTGTCAGTATGATATTAAGTGGCCGGTATCAGCATTAGTACATGTAACATAGCACAGTAAAGGGAAATCATACATTTTTAAAACATGCTAACATACAATTGGAGATAATGGAAGTTTTATTTTTATACATGCCATAAATATATTTACATCTTAAACATAAAAAGGCTTTTAACGCTTTTAGTCTTTATCTTTGATTCTTTATTAATGTTTCTTTTAGACTGCTTATAAAATTACCAGAACTAAACTACCAGGTAAAGGTGAAAGCATCAATTGACAAGTAAGTTTTCTAATTTCATTTTGAAATGTGAAAATGTCAGACCATTTTTATGAATGGCCCTTATTTTATAGAATAATTTTGAACTTTTAAATGTGCTTCTTACATATCAATGAACTTCACATATTTGACACTGAAGTTCAAATATTTAACAGAACTCAATGAAGACTTAACAGATTTTTCTATAAAGACCTCAACTAAAATTTTATGTACTATCTTTTTAAAAAATCATAGAAAGTTTTTTCATAGATCTATTAAATAACTCATTTTAAAGAATCTTCTTGATTTTACAGGAACGTTTCAACTTTAAGGTAAGACATTTACTTTTTAGAATTTTTTTGTTGTTCTTGTAAATATATTTTACCTGAGACCATGTAAATAGCTAACATTTCCTCTCTAGCAATCGAAGATTTGTACTTTGTGGAACCAATATCAAAGCCATGTCTATTGAAGAATCTTCCAATGGGAGTCTCTCAGTAGAATTTCGGCATTTGGTAAGTTTGCCAATAGAATTATACAGGCCTTTTTTTCAAACAGGAACATTTTTATAATAGGCCTATACCTTGGTGTATTTTATTCTTTAGTATTTCTTATGTGAGATTAAGGACCATGTTAAGAAATAAAAATGCTATCATTGAAGAATTAAAATGATAGAACCCTGAACCTTGGCTCAAAAAGTCTGATTTCTAAACAAGATTACATAGTCCCTAAGAATGCATAGGAGTTGGTCAGTAAACTTTGATGATAGTAATAGAGCTCATTTATCTTATACTGGATGGGCATTGCACAATGGAATATTATTCAGACATAAAAAAGCATGCTGCTGGGCATGATGACTTACTCCCATAATCCCAGCACTTTAGGAGGCCAAGGTGGCAGGATCTCAAGCCCAGGAATTCAAGGTTGCAGTGAGCCATGATCTTACCACTGCATTGCAACCTGGGCAACAGAGCAAAACCTTGTCTCAAAAAACTAAATAAATAACTAAGAATTAAATTTTGTCATTTGCAGCA